TATATAGGTTGGTTATTATACAACCTTTGACATTTGTGCAACCAATACAACCCAATCTCAACCGTCCATTTCATTTGATGAATATGTGATTTTATAGAAGTTTTGATTGTTTCCTAATATAAAGTATTAATCATAATTAATAAACTCTATTCATATTCCATAAATATTCAAATCATAATAAATGAACTCCCACCTTTTCTATAAATATATCAATTAATTGGGTTAGAAGGGTTGTACAAATACACAAGGTTGTAAAAGAAATATACCCTATATATATATATATATATGTGTGTGTGTCTCTACATGCATGTGTGCGTATGTGTTGGCACGTAATTAATTGATACGAGACTTCAACAAAAACAAATCAACTTTTTATTCTTTGCAACACCAAGTGTGCACGATATACTTTTACAAAGGAAGCATGTAAGATATGTTTTGACGGTTTACCAAACGCTTACCCATATAAGCGCTTATTAAATAACATTACCTCACCGCATGAATATGGTAAAGACAAAAAAAAATTATCCGTTAAGAGCGAGACAAGGACCAAGAGTCTTACCCGGTAAGTGAGGACGACGACTCTTACCACGGTAAGCACTTACCGGGTAAATTGTTACATACAATGTCGTTTTGGTGGACTAAAGTCTTACCCGATAAGTAAATAATAGTGTTAAATTTTACCGATAAGCACTTACGGTGTAAGTGTTTGGTAAACGACCCCTTAGTAAGCAATAGGAAAAACAAACTATAGAGATGGAAATAAATATTTCAAATTGATTTATAGGCATAAAATGGGTCCTAAATTTTTGATCAAATTCGAAATTATACTTTTAATACTGAAATTTCTTACTTAAGATGTTGGAGTCTTATATCCGCTAGACTTGAACTATTTCTCTGACATATACCCTCTCTCCTAAAAGGATCTTTTCTTTTGGTGAGTAATCTATAATGGAATTTCACATATTCTCACATGGTATATGAGTCAAGATCTACCACTTTAGGGCAACCTTTTAGAAAAAACTTGTCTAGTCCTCTTTTGACATTTTGAGATAATTTTTTCCGTCTAACTTCCATTGCAGGAGGCATGTTGGAATCTCACGCCAGTAAACTTAGATCATTTCTCCTCCATAAATGTCAGAGCTTCTCCTCTCTCTTAAAGGGTTCTCTTGGAAAGTAATCTAGTGGGGTTTCACGTATTTTCATGTAAGATACTGTGTTTTTCTATGAAAAACAAGATAATTACAAATCTTTTTCATGCATTGACACATGCGACAGCTAAAAAGGCTCGAGTTAACTACCCATCGATATAGTTGGCGACTTAGAGGTCGATGCGTTTGATAAGTCCATTCTTGTATACCAAGCAACGATATAAGCGTCTATTTCGTTGTTCATCTTTTGCCATTTTAAGAATAATAAAAACGACAATTATTTATATACAACAATGAGAAACGTCTAACACGTAAATCAATCATCCTCGTTCTGAAGCTCAAACAGCGACTTGCGCAGCTGCTAGCCTCGCGATAGGGACCCTAAGAAAGAACAAAAGACAATTAGGTGGCAACAAACACTTTAGGCACACACTTATACAGATGATTTAATAGTACACGTAGCAAATGGTAACCCAATACTCTTAAGATGCACAAGGTCTGGGCTTTTTCGGGCCTGGGCCCGGACCTTCCAAGTCCATTATTCAGTAAGCAAAAAAAACCAAGCTTTTTCACGCTTGGCCGGGCTTTAGGGTTGAAAGAGGGCTCCATCGGGCTTTTTAGGTCGTTCTTCAGACTTTTCAGACTAGATCCTTTAACCGGGCCTTGAAAACGAAAAAGTTGGTCTAATCAGGCTTTAAGGCTTCTAAAGCTTGGTTGGGCTTACAAAGCCCAGAATTTTCCAGGCCAGGTTTTGGATTTGGGATTTTTTGTGCATTTCTATCCGATATGATAACCAGGTACGATTATCCGCATATAGTACTTAGTTGATGAGATAAAACCATGTACTATCTTAAGGGAGAAAAAAAGATCATGCAAATAAGACTGGTTTACTTTTACACTGTGTTCTCGAACCCCTTTCTACGAAAGAAAGGAATGGGGAGGAAAGTAAAAACACTCATGTTCTCGAAACTTTTTTAGGAGAGAGGAAAGGAAATGGAAAGAAATTAATGATAAGTTTCCTCTCAAACTTTCCTTCCAAATATGGAAGGAAACAAAAAAAAGAAATATAAAAACTATTTTAAAAGATTATTAAAATTACAAAACTATCTCACATTCATTATAAATGATACATTTAATTTTAAAGGATATATTTGTAAAAATGACATATTTCCTTTCTTTTTTCTTGTTCAAGAACATGAAAAATTATTTTCTTTCTTTTTTCTTTTCCTTCCCTTTCGAGAACATAAATAGAAAAATTATTTCATTTCCTCTCTGTTCTTTTCTCCCCAAATTCAAGAACACATTGTTAATCAACACGGTAACATTTCTTGCACCAGATTTGTTCCCCTAACCTGGTTTTCTTATTTTTCGGGTACAATGTAGGGGTATAATGAACGTTTACGTAGTAGTAATGCCCACAAACCTGAATGGAGAGCAAGAGACATAATCTAGTCCAACCCCGTCAAAAAATGCAACAGAAGAGGGATCTCCACCGTGCTCTCCACATATCCCAACCTGTGTATCCATCGTTAGTCACCGGTCCATCCCGAAATCTAAAATTTCATCACAACACATCACAATACAACAAATTTGGGAACCCTTACGCACCTTTAAGTTCGGATTTGCAGCACGCCCCTTGTCCGTGGCCATCTTGATCAATTGACCCACCCCTTGTTGATCAAGAACCTACAAATGCCATTTGTGTCAATAACAATTGTCCAACATCTTTCACGAGTTTTGATCTATGTAGATGTAGGCCATGTTTGACAACCATAACTAGCTTAGTTTTTTAGTGTACTGAAAAAAACCCATTTGATAAGCCATAAATTAGCCTTTTTAAAAGCTACTTCAGATAGTTTTTTGAAAAGGTATTTAAGATAGCCTTTCAAGAAACTCCCCGGTGCTTTTTTCACTTCACTTTTCCAACTATGCCCTTTATGTTAGCTTTTTAGTAATTTTTCAAGATATCCAATTATACCCCATTTGGTCAACCATAAGCAAGAATTGTTTAGCTTTTCAATAATTTTTCACTTTTTTTTTCCATTTATTCCTTTTAGGTTATTTTAAATTGTCATATAGTTTATCTATCGTTTAGTTTTTACTTAACGTGACTAGTTTCTCGGCAAGAACGTAGCTAAATCTTGGGTGTTTGCGTTAGGCATGTTGATATGCTGAGCTTCGGGTTACTGACCTCAAAGGGATCGTGCTGTAGAATGCCTTGTGATAGATACACAGGAAGAAACTTCCCAACATCATCTCTACTGTACCCGAATGTCATTTGGGTGAGATCATTGGTCCCAAAAGAGAAGAACTCTGCTTCCTTTGCAATCTGTACGTTCATAAAATCGATGAGAGCTCTATGGGAAGTGGAAGTGGTAAGAAAACTGTGTGATGAATCTTATGCTGATCATACCTCATCGGCGATTAAAGCTGCTCGAGGAATCTCAATCATGGTTCCAACCTTGTACTTCAATGACATTCCCATTTCAGCGAAAACCGTCTTTGCAACACTCCGAATTACACCAACTTGATGTCCTAATTCCTGCAATTGGAAACATCTATTTCATATGCTAATGATCATCTACTGAGTGTCTTAGCATCCACAATGGTAAGCTTTTTTACTAAAGCTTTTTCCAAAAAAGTGGGAACTAGAAGCTTAGGTGGCCAAGAGAAAAAGTGAGACCTACAGGCTTACTTATTGGGAGTTTGTGCGGTTAAAAGGAAAAAGTGTTTTTTTAGGGAAAGTGACGAAATTAGCCATTTTAAATGAACATCTTCGTTTTTTAATAAGTTTTTCATGTTAGAACCAAAATAGCCAAGATTTCGCATGTGCCTCTTTCATAACTTGTAAAATGCATTTTTTATGAATAAAATATGATTTTGGTTGGTCATTTCGCAAGCCGGTGAGGAGATTCACAAGCCGTCGTTCCATTTCACAAGCCGCCAAGCCAACTTCACAAACTGACCTCACCAAAATCATATTTAATTCAGAAAAGTACATTTGGCCGGTTGCTAAATTGGCATTTGCGAAATCTTGTCTATTTTGGTCAAATTGAAAATACAATTTGGCTAAAAAGTGAAGATGTTAGTTCAAAATGGTTAGTTTAAAATTTTTCTACTTTTTGTCAGAAACTTATTCATGATCTTAGTTGGTAAAAAAGCTTTTTAAAATGCTCCATCGTGGTGCTCTTAGTTAGAAAATTAATGGTGTTAGAGTCCCACAAGGGGCGTTTTTTTGGATAGTAATCTAATGGAGTTCCACTATTCTCAAATATGGGTTGTGAAGAATATCTTGCCTGAGGTGTCCCAACTAACGGAACCATGATCTCTGGGAAAACCGTCACGCCTTGGTTGGTCATAGACACTGCAGCTTGAAAGATCGCACGAACCTGCATCTCTGTTAGCTCCGGATATGAAATTCCAAGCCTGAAAGCATACAATTCAACATGAATTAGGATTCTTTTCTAGTAGCTAGGCGATCAAAGATGTCTAGTAAAGCATTAGTAATAAGAAGCTTATTATACATATAAATAGGCATGAAATTAAGAACATGATCAATAGAAATTGCCATGTACATGTTGGAGTCGACACCACCATCAAACCTATATACATGTAACCAAAGGGTCTTTAGCCTAACGGTATCCGAGTTACCAATAGAGCCTAGGGAGGTCCATGGGTTTCCGTATATAAATATTACAAAGTTCAAAAAATCTCATATTTAAAGGGTTCCACATATATTATAACAGTAGGGCTGCAAGTGAGGTCCTAAGATAGAGGAGAGGCACACCTGCAGCCTCGGAAACCGAGCATTGGGTTCACTTCAGATAACTTCTCAATCCTTGAATAAACTTCATCTTCTGTCATGCCGGTATCCTCGGTCAGTTCACTCACAATTTGTTCTAGATCACCTTCGGGTAGAAATTCATGTAGTGGAGGATCTAAAAGACGGATTGTCACCGGAAGTCCTGAAATATTTGATGTAATATAACAATGAAAATCTGAAATGAAGTCCGAGTTTTTGTTTAGAATACTAAAATGTCATGAAAACTACCATCCATTGCTCGGAAAATGCCCTCAAAATCGGATCTTTGGTAAGGCAGTAACAGGTCTAAAGACGCTTTTCTCTGTTCAGTAGTAACGGCCATAATCATCTTCCTTACAGCTTTTATCCTCTCATCGGAAGCAAAGAACTGAAGATGATCCAAATAATATATGTTTGTAATACTTACTTTCAGACAACTTCTACCAACTTAAGCATAAAACAATAGAGACCGATATGAATTATGGCCATGTTTGGCAACCATAAGTTAGCTTAATTATTAGTTTATTGAAACAACTTAGTTTGGTTAGGCATAAGCTAGCTTTTTGAAATGCTACTTCAAGCTTTTTGAAATGCTACTTCAAGTAGCTTTTCTATAAGCTCAAGGGGTTTTTGCCATTTTTTCCAATTATGCTCTTTATATTTTTGTAGTTCATTTTTCAACATATCATTTTATATTGTTATCTAGCTTTTCGACTAACTTTACCAAACATGACTAGTTTATCGGTTAGCTTTCAGGTAACAGCTAGCTTATCAGCCAATTGCTAGATTATCAAATAGCCTGCCAAACATAGCCTATGTGATACCAACAATTAACAAAGAAAAATTACCATATGCTCAGTCCTACAAAGTCCAATCCCTTGAGCACCATTATTCCTCGCTGTTAAGGCATCGTTAGGTGTGTCTGCATTCGCCATAACCTATTGAAACACCCGAAAGATACAATCAGTTCAAAGACTTTATACCCATCAATAACCCCTTGAACATTTCATGTTTTCTTGAACACTTTATCCAGGTTGTAATATATGGCAAATGAAGATTATACAAATAGGTCATGCTGAAATTTTGCCAGAAATTATAACGTGAAGATGAATGCGTTATAATCTGGTATCAAAGCCGCAATTTAAGTGAACTAGATTATTGTTAACTTAGATTTTAACCGAGAATATAAGATTGATAATTCTGATAGAGACGTTGTCTAAGGTTAATCTATAGTCGCGAAGGCAAGTTTTTTAGTTATAGTCAATACCTTGAGACGTCTTACTTGATCAGCCCATGACATGAATATTTCCATATCAGTGCTCATCGCAGGTGGAGCCAGTGGCTGTTTACCCAATATAACTTCACCTGTGGAACCATTAAGTGAAAGCCATTCGCCTTCTTTAATCACCTTATCTCCGATTAGAAGAACCTGTGTGAAAGCAGATTCGTAAATGGACAAAACTTGTTTTTGACCTCCCTCAAATTGTTATATGCGCTTGAAGTTTTAGTAAAATTTCATATACGGAGATGGACCTTCGTATCATCATTCACACGAATATCAGCACAGCCAGAAACACAACATTTCCCCCATCCACGAGCCACCACTGCTGCATGTGATGTCATTCCTCCTCTCGCTGTTAAGATCCCAGCCGCAGCATGCATACCACCAACATCTTCTGGGCTTGTATCCGTCCTCACCTTCATTCATGGAATACAATTTGCATCAACAAATTTTATGATATATCACTTGTCCATGTTTGGCAAACATAAGCAACCTTATTTTTTTAGCTTATTGAAAAAGCCCAGTTTGGTAGACATAAGCTATTTCTTAAAACACTACTTGGAGTAGCATTGCAACATGCTTCAAGGACTTCTTTCCACCTTTTTTCCAAATATTCCCATTATAATTATATTTTAATATGCTATTTTATATTGTCATCTAGCTTTATCAGCTAGTTTTTACCAAACAATGACTACTTTATCAGCTAGTTTTTACCAAACAATGACTACTTTTTCAGCTAACTTATCGACCAACAACTAGTATAATAGCTAGTTTGTGAAAGAACGCGGTTGTAAATATATTCTCAAAATGCAAATTTAAAATTCCAAAAATTATAGTTGTTGATCATTTTTAAAGTATTCAAAAAGCATATGATGCATACCAAAATGGCACTCTTTCCTTGTGCATGCCATGCTTCAGCATCCTCGGCGCTAAATACAACCTGCCCAATGGCTGCTCCAGGGGATGCAGGCAAACCAGTTGCTACCACTTGGTTTTTGTAAGCAGACGGATCCTCGAACTAGAGACAGATTCGTAATCAGAATTAAATAGATGTGCAAGCACTACCACAAAAAGTTTTTTAATAAATAATAGGACTTAAAGTTTATAGGAACTAACACTTCTGTGTCGACGTTACAATAAACTGTTAGGGCTAAGTTAGCGATCTAACAAGTTCTAAGTTGGACTACCTAACAGAACACAAAAAGTAATTGCCCCAATAATCCTTCTATAGACACTTTTGGAAAGTGTCGATAAAAAAAGGCTAATAGGGCGGTTTACTTTTTTCTATCCTATTAAGTTGCCCAACTTCGTAGATAAAACATAACTTCGTCCTAATAACTCATTACAACTCCTGCACACTAATTTTTTGTCCTATAAACTTAAAGTGCATTTAAGTACTCCACTAGGACGCAATTTTGCTGTAGTGAAGAAAATTTAATGGAGATCAAACTCCCAATAACTGTAGAAACTGTAACCATGGTATGAAAATGCGCTGAGTTTAGGTTTCTAAATTCAGATATGAAAGACTCTCAATTTTGATGAAAAAGGCCTTTTAGCACGAGTATTATAGCATACCTGTGGATGAAGAAGCTGATCTAGATGTTGAGGCTCGACCATCTTAATTGCTGTTCGCGTATCAGTTAGCCCTTCGTTCACCATATCTACTGCAATTCTAACTGCAGCTTTTCCAGTTCGCTTCCCTGCTCGGCATTGCAACATCCAAAGTCTGTTTTCTTGAACTGTGAACTCAATATCCTGTGCTCATAGATTCATCATAATAACAAAATTGTTAGTTATTTTTTCCCAATTTTTAAGATACCCATCAACTAAATCACGCGATTTAGCTGGTAAATGCTAGAGAGAAAAAAAAAACAAGAGTTCGATGATTACCATCATATCTTTGTAGTGTCGTTCTAAGATCTCACAATTCTCTACAAGCTCTGTGTATGCTTCTGGCATGCAATTCTTCATGGTGACCAAGTCCTGTGGTGTTCTGATTCCAGCAACAACGTCTTCTCCCTGTTTAAAATGGCGTCATTAGCCAACTTTCAGTAATCTGTATAAATTAAACCAAACCAAACAAACACACTATGTCCCACCCGGAGGTGGAGTCGGGGGCTGATGCATGCAAACATGCCCTCTACCCCAAAGAGTAAAGGAGTTGTTTCTTTGAAGACCTCTGGCTTGTGCAAAGTGTCTGAAAAGAAATGATAAAGCTTGCTAAAAATTTGCAAAAATAGAAAATAAGAAAGGCATTGCTAAAAATTGAAATCGAGTTAGGAATAAGCAACAACATTCAAACGAGCAGATAAACAAAGAAACAAACTTACAAACAGAAGCAAGCAGGTACAAGCAAACATAACCAAGGTAGTAATTCGTAAAAGTGTGTAGTGTAAATGGCAAAATAGTGCTTTCACCTGAGCATTGATTAAAAACTCCCCGTATAGCTTCTTCTCACCGGTGCTTGGGTTCCTGGTGAAGAGAACTCCGGTTCCTGAAGTGTCCCCCATGTTGCCAAACACCATGCATTGAATGTTAACTGCAGTCCCCTTCAATCCCGTTATCTGGTTAATAGTCCTGTACTTATTGGCCCTCGGACTGTCCCAAGAATCAAAAACCGCATTCACTGCCAACTCTAACTGTTTCTTCGGATCTATAGAACAATAGAAGCCAAAAGTGCTTTGAGTTATTATGAATCTAAGGCTACGTTTTGGCAGCTTAATTGTTGTCTGAAAAGCTAGTTGTTGGTTAAAACGTTAGTTGTTGGCTAATAAGCTAACTGATAAACAAGTCATGTCGGCTAATAAGCTAACCGATAAACAAGTCATGTTAGCTAATAAGCTAGATGACAACGTAAAACTAAAGGAATGTGACGGAAAATTAATTGGAAAAATACAAGGGGCGAATTGGAAAAGATATATGGAAGAAAGCCCCCGGAGCTTTTTGAAAAAGCTACTTCAAGTAGCTAGAAAAGCTTTTTTAAAAGTTGGCTTAAGGCTAACCAAATGGGACTTTTTTAATAAGCTCAAAAAATAAGCTAGCTTATGTTTGTCATGGCTTAAGATAAGTTGCAGTTAAAGAAAGCTAAATCACCTAGAAAAGCAGCTATTTTTCGAACAGATGTCAAAGGGATTTCATACCTGAAGGAAACTTTTCACCCTTCCATTCAACATATACATTTTTGTATTGCTCAACAAGATCTTTAAGATCAGAAGCAGTGAGATCTGTATCAAGCTTAACCCCTCTTTCCGCTTTCAACTGTCCTAATCTTTCCTCAAATAATGAGTGTGGGATTCCCATTACCTTAAAACACCATATACACTAAGTTAAGCATGCCAAAGGAAAAACAATAAACCAAACAAACGCAGTATATCTCACCCAAGGTAGGGTCTAGAGATAGGATGTACACAGATGTTACCTATGTCTACCTCCGTCCCAAGAGACAGAGAGGAAAAACAATCAAGTCAATATTATTTAATCAAGAAATGAAAGAAACACTTACAACATCTCCGAACATGTCCAAAAACCTCCTGTATGAATCATATGCAAACCGTGCTCCACTTTTCCCGGCTAAACCAGCCACAACCTCATCGTTAAGTCCAAGGTTCAATACGGTGTCCATCATACCAGGCATTGATATCTGAATATTAACCAACACAAGGTAAAGAAAGGAGACACACACTATCAGCAAAAGAGTTGTTTCTCCTTCTCAAAATGCCGTTTTTCAAGAACTTTCTATTATACTTGCAGGAAGGAAACACACTAAAACATATTAGGATCATTCACTCCGATTATGATTGCTCAGTCCAAGCATATAATACACAATGTATAATTTTAGCAACAAAACTACAAATATGATGATTAAAGTCGCTCTCTGTGGCACCATTTAGGCCATGTTTGGCAAGATGATGATTAGAGTCTCTCTAGATCACCATTTGACGCCAAATTTGACAACCATAAGCTAGTTTATTTTTTTAGCTGATTGAAAAAGCCTCCTTTGTTTAGTCACAAGCTAGTTTTTTGAAAAGCTTCCTCAAATAGCGTTTCAACAAGCTCCGGAGCTTTTTTTCCACTTCTTTTCCATGTTCCATGTATTACTAGCGACCAGCTAGTTTTTTAGCTAAGAGCTACCTTATCAACTAGTTTGAAAAACATAATCCTTAGCGTTTTGCATTTGAACAAGCATAATGGTCGGCTTAAATTGACATGTATGTACAAGAAGTTATGAATAGTTTGCAAAATACGTACTGCAGCACCGGAGCGGACAGAAAGGAGGAGAGCCTTGGAGGGGTCACCGAGAGATGCGCCCATCTCGTTCTGCACGTACTGCAAGCCTTCCAAAATCTCATCCCACAGACCTGGAGGCAGCTTTTTCCCAATTTGTTGATATTCATTACAAGCTTCAGTTGAAATAGTGAGCCCAGGAGGGACTGATAGACCTATGCTTGCCATCTCAGCTAGATTTGCTCCTTTTCCTCCCAACTATATAACAATCCAAACGTTCAAGATTTACAATCTCTTTTTCGGATTGTTTTAATGGAAAAGTTATGTAAAACGCACTACAACAAAATTAAATTGGGTTTATAGAACACTAGAAATGTATGAATGTCTTAATAGAAGACACATAAGATCTTATTTAAAAGTGTTACAATAGGTTTATAGTATGTCTTTGGTGCATTAACGAGTTTTTTAGTGCATTTTTAGGGTAAAGTATCGTAGTAGCTATTTTATAGGACTTTATTTCAAAAATGTCATTAAAAACATGTTAAAGCACTCCAATAAACCAATTGTAAAACATTTAGATAAGAAGTCTTATAAAGCATTTTATTAGGACGATCAGACATTTTAGGCTTCCTACACTACAAAACAAAGAGGCTTAACCGACGGATCAGAGACGTATTGACCCTCACCGACAGATTTGTTCATCGGTGACCGGTAATCACCAGCCACATGTTTTCAGGCGCTGAGATCCGCCGGTGATGTCTTTTCCCGGCAGATTACCTAGGGATTTTTCCGTAAGTGAAGCCTCTTTGTTTTGTACTGAATTTTATTGTAGTGGCGGCTGCTGAATGTCACACTTCTAGTTGCATAGCTCAACCAAACAAAATCATTTCATAATCATATTAAATAAACCAGGTTCCGGGGTGGTATATAAGCACAAACAGGTGAGTGTTGAGTTTGGCAGCAGCAGTGTGGAAATTACAATTCCTTTTGTAATCGGCCTTATGGGCACTGGTGCTATGAGAAAGATTGAACAAACTAAACAAGGCCTGTTCTTGAGACGGTACGGTGTGGGCCGGCTGGGGTTGCTGGTTGCAAGTTGCAACCCCTGTTTGCACAAACTAAACCAGGTTTATTCGATTGAAACGATGAAAAAAAAAGAATTTAACATAGTGAACATTAATTACTTACCAATGATTTCATGCCTTTGTTGCCTTCACTTCTTCCTTTACCAAAAGTAAAAACCCGCTGTGGATGCAACCAAATACAAATAAGTGTTATTTTCTTTGAAAAATAAGTTGATTCATCTTTCTTTACCTACTGCTACTCGATATCAACAGCCTTATTCATGGGTATCGGTATCGGTATCAGTATCAGTTCAAAATCAACAAAAAGTTGGGTTTTGATTTATGCTGCTATATCTTAATCAACTTATTGGATTAAATAATTGTAGACATGTTCTGATATCATATATATATATATATATATAAGTAAAACACATATCATCAAATCCTATACATACATACATGTTTGATGATCTATGTTTAGCTGATATAGTTACTAACAAAACTATCGGCGTAATACAAGGCCTATGTGTTTTTTATGATAATTTGACGGAAATGTTAGAAATGATGAAACGGAGCAGTAAATGTCACATAGATTGTTAATTATGTGTGTGGTGAGTACATCTTAACCACAAGTGGTTGTGTAATCATGAAAACATATGAAAGAAAGAAGAGGGACAAATGGACCTTAGCCATGGTGTGATGGAGTTGGAATGAAGAAAGGATGTGTGTAGGCATTTTATAAGTCAGGAAGTAGATGGGTGGATGGATGTTATTGGAATAGGATTGACACTACTCAAGTCATTGTTGCTATTTATAAGCATGCATGGATCATCAAGTCACCAGCACCTACATGATAGGTCCCACCTTCTCATACCCAAATTACATAAATAGTCCTTCAACTATTTACCAACCTATACTTTTGGACCAATCATTACTTTTATTACACTTTGGATCCAATTGCAAAAAAAAAAAAACATCCCACCTCCTTTAAACATATAATGATATGGTATGGTATAGTACACAGTAGATGTATACAAATTGGGACGTTGGATTCATCCTTCAATACCAGAGTCATAATTGGACATGGCAAAAGACAACGACACGTGAGCATCTTGGAATGCTAAAATTAACATATTCCTTTGTTCCTATCTCATCCGTGAATTCTTACCTTAAGATACTACTTATCTTTTTTACTAATTTCTAACACTAAATATATTCTTAATACAGATTTTAGGTGTTAAATTTGAATGATCTCTAGTGTGTATCTCAATTGATAAATGAATAAAAAATTTATTTAAATATAAGACAGGTCTAAAGTTTAATCATAGAGCCTCTTATCGGCTTCAACCGTTGAATGAGTCAAAAAAAGTCGTCTCATTTTTAGATAAATACCAAAAAAAGACATTTTTTTGTTATATTATATTCCACGAATAGAAAACTTTGATGCTAAATGTTTATGAGAAAGATAAATTATTTTAATAATATAATTAAGACGGTAGTCTACAAAATAAAGAATTTATTTTAATTATAGATAAATGAATTTTTTGTTCTTTTTAAAATTTCGAATTTAATTCTCTATTTTAAA